GGTGACTGCGGCGGGGTGTTTTGGGTCGCGGCCTCCTTTTTTTTTTTTTTTGTACTATTTAACAATTTTTAAGTGCAATGACCTTATAAAGTACGTAGTTTAGAAGGTTTGAAAACGGTTTTATAAGCGAGATTAAGGACGATTTTTTTTAGACAGGTCATATTTCGGTTCTGTTGATATTACTGCTGATTTCTTTGGTTGTGTTCTCAGTTCCATATATGTTGTTTCATCAGCTCCCGATATCGAACTCATTGTACCCGATCGTCGTTCAACAGAAGCCAAAGATGATTTTGTGGTTGATGTTATTGGTGGAAGGGTATCATCCTCTTTTTCATCAATATCATTTACGGCTAAAAGTTTTTTAAGTAATTGTTGTTGTTCTTCTTTTGTCGAAAAATGTAAATGATCTTCATCTGTTGCTAAACGTGTTATCACTTTATAACTATAACCTTGATTAATTAAAAAACTTTGACGTTTAGCCGAATAATACATTTCAACCGTATCTTGTGAAACAAGTGTGTAAAAAAATGCATTGAATTCTTCAACAATTGCGCCTTTTTTTGCTCGTAAAATTCGTCCAAGTCGCTGAGCTTCTTGACGTCTTGAACCACCATGACTGGAAATTTGGATAAGAACATTAGCATCAGGCAAATCAAATGATGTATCTGCAACTTTTGAAACAAAAATGGTATTTATACGTGGATTATGTTGAAAATTTTGTAATATTTGTACACGTTCCGATTGAGATGTTTTTCCATAAATATATGGCTTGTCTAATTCTTTTGCATATGTTTCCAATACAAACATACTATCGGAAAAAACAATTATTTTGTCATTTCTTCGTTCGTGATAACGTATTAGAAATTGACAAGCACGAAATTTATTTGGATTCATAGCACAAAGTAAAACACGTCTGTTATTCATTCGAACTGTTACATATTCTTGAAAAAATTCTGGCGTCATTTGACACCAAACTTCGGCACATTGTATTTTGGCTATATGTCCAAGATTTTGTAATTCCATCCAATTCGCTTCATAAAGTTTAGGTCCAATTAAAAAATTTAAATCTGTTATTTTATCATCCTCACGAACTAATGTTGCCGTTAAGCCAAGTTTACAATGGGCACGTACAATTGTTAAAACAGTTCGAAACATTTTTGCTGGAATTGTATGTACTTCATCCAACAACATTAAACCCCATTCACGACCTCTCAGTTGTTTCATAACTTCAGCTGTTTCAGCATTGCGTCTTTGTGTATGAGCGATCATCGAATATGTACTAACACATACGCAACAATCATTTGGCTTATCTTTATCCTCGGATGTAAACAATTTTACTTTGGAATCATCAGCTGTGGACCACATGTTAAATTGCTGTTTCCATTGTTGCACAGATACATTTGAATTGCATAATACCAGACAACTTTTATTAATTGTACATGCAGCTGTTACTCCAACAAGAGATTTTCCCGCACCACAAGGTAACACAATTATTCCTGATCGAGCACGTCCATTACCAAACATTTTTCTTAAACTTTTCTCTTGATATGGTCTCAATACAGCATTAGGCCTCAATTCAATGTTTAAATTTTTCAAATTTGTATCATGACGAAAATCATATTCTTCTAATAGTGGATGTTCTAATTCTTGACATCGTTTTCTTAATGTTTCAATTTTTTCTTGTATCAATTCAAATGACACTGTTTTACGATCTTCTAAATCTTCATCATCACGATCAATTTTTTCATAATAACGTAATATGTCATCTGGTATTTGTTCATTTGGGGCTGATGATTGATCATTCGTTGTTACGGCGGGTGCTGATGTTCCGGGAATAATGGTGCGTGTTTTCTCTATATCAGTTAAATTTATGTCTAAATCATCACTGTTCGACGTAAGACGACAATTTTGAATTTCTGGGTCTTTCAAAACGTCAGGAAATGTACTTTCGACAAAATAACGATTGTGCTTCAAAACAAGTTTTACTTTCGCATAACTTGGTGTACATAATTTAATAAATTCAATAATTTCATTTGGTATCGTTGTTTTACTCAATCGTTGTAAATATTCGATTATATCTTGTGTTTGTAATCCAACGGATACCGCTGCATATAATGAATAGGCTGATAATTTGTATTCGTGAATATATTCTGGGCGACAAACAGGTTCAGCAATAGCGATAAGAAAATCGTGAGCATGTTTATAAACACTTGAAAATGATTCCAAAAATATATGACCATCGGGTGTTACCCATAAGGGACGATTTTCATGATCATCTTTTAATTCCATTTCTTCACGAAAATCTTTAAACTTTTTACTTGATATTGTACCCGCTGTTGTTTTTATTGAATCATCATCATCGTCACCAGTAGAATTATTTATGGGATGTGAGGCAGCTTTTGGAACTACATCTTGATCTTTTATAACATTCAAATCCTCGATATAATCATCATCCTCATCATCATTATTAGGTTTGAAAGATTTTACATTGCGACTCTCGCGTTTACCTTCAGCTGGACGTTTTCCCATTTAAAAGCCTTTCCCACTTGGGATTTGGTTGTATAAATATAAATTGATAAATGCTACTAAATGATATGTATAATCTCACCCCTTGATATGACACGCGTAACTTTTGTACAGTTACTTCGTAGAGAAACTATGTGCAGAACTATATGTAGAACTATGTGAGAAACTAAAATTACTTTCGTCTCTTCACTTAATGTGTTAAATATAAACCAACCCAAAGAAGATAATAAATCAAAATAAAGCTTCATGCGCCAATTAATGATCAAAGATTCCGCCCTCTAATGCCCACTTTCCCGAACTGTAAAGAAATATATATACGCCTGTAAAGTCCCGCTTTACAATGACCCTACCCCAACTGTTTAACAACGTGATTAGACAACAAATGAAACTGTATCCGTAAATGTATGAGAATTTAGAAAGAATATAAAGAACACGAGGCCTTACCTCTTTATAATAATTTGTAATATAAGCAATGAGACTAAACGAGATGAGAGCACGCGATGTTCGAACTGTGCACATGTTCCGCTTTCTCCCCTTCTCGCGATAATTAGTTCTACT